AATCTGTGGGATCTGATCGGTCTATTGGAGGTAATTGGCAGCAGGCGGTCTCTCAAGTGCCCACCCGGTCACATGACACCCCCCCACCAAGCCACGCTCACAGAACCGGTGGCAAAATTTTGTTAGATTTCACCATTGGTGCCATCCAACCTGTATAAAAATGATAAGAGAGCCTGTTCCCAGCCTCACGTTCCCCAAGGATGGTGGATCTGTTAAGTTCCAGCAATTGTTGTTGGCTTGGCCTGGGATCCCTGCTTCCTAGACCATTTGAAACCTGGTAGGAATTCAGAAGGAAAACAACAGCATCAACCACTGAAGCATCCCCATCGAAAGACAGTTCTCATTTTGTCCTATCACATTTTATTTCTTCCGCTCCATTTATTTTTCATATTTGTTTATTATTTGAGAAAGCGAGTAGATTTGTGTGCCTAACAACCATGTTTTTGGGGGGGATAATGGATCGAGGAGAGAGCGACCCGATTTCTTGGCCTGACTTTAGTGATGGTAGCTTTTCAGGAAATGTGATGAATTTTTATTTATTTTTAAATCTCTTTTAGGGAAAGGCTGAAGAGGCCAGTAGCATCATAGATCTAACATCCGATGATTTGGCAACCCTGAAGGTATGATTATGAGGTTAATAATATAAGCAAAGAGGTTTAACGCTCTTTTTCAGTTCTCTGTTCTTTGCACGGGGCGGAAAATCCTGCTCTTTATTTTTTATTTTTTTGTTAAACAAGAAAGTGTTACGTTCTGATCCAGGTTATGCTCACACCATGGTTTGTGCAAGCTTCCATCAGATTTAGATGCTTCACCCTCTTCTATTCCTGGCATGAATGGGGCTATAGAAATATTTGGGAGTTTTGCAACAATATTATGAGCTTGGAGTCTTTTTTTTTTTCCCTTGGAGAAAATAATTAGATTTTTAGTTCTACATCAGAACTGGAGTTGCAGTTGGGTATTGAAGACATGTTGAAATTTCCTGCCTAAATAAGAATTGTGAGTATGCATTTAAAATTGTATTTGGGCACCTGTACAGGCACTCCTCTACTTAAAACTTTGGGCACAATTGAGCCCCAAATTCCTGTTGTTAAGTGAGTTTTGCCCCATTTCACGACCCCTATTGCCACCGTTGTTAAAGTGAATTACTGCAGCTTATAAATTAGTAACCCAGTTGTTAAGTGAATCTGGCTCTCCCATTGACTTTGCTTGTCAGAAGGTCATAAAATGTGATCTCATGACCCTGGGACACTGCACCCGTCATAACTATGAGTTGCCAAGCATCTGAATTTTGTTCTCATGACCATTGTAAATGTGAAAAACAGTCCTAAATCCCTTTGTCCCATTGCTGTTGTAACTTTGAGCTGTTCCTAAATGAATGGTTATAAATTGAGGACTACCTGTATCCAGAAACAACTCTTTAACAACTTCATAGACTTCTTGACAGAAACTTTTCCAGGTGCCCCAAACAATTT